GTTAATTTGGAAGAGGCCAGCATGCCTTTCTCCTGGGTAAACTTTGTGAAAATGGACAGTTCAAGTGATAATATAACAATAAATTTAATTGCAGGAAAATCAGAACTCCCATAATGAAGTCTTTGATTCATTTCACTGACAAATGCAAAGATTCCTTATTGCATGGGCTTGTCATGACAGAATATGTCAAACAAAGACCTATTTGCTGTGACCTGGACTTCTCCAATGTAAATATGTGCTTCATTACAGATTCACTGTGAATGCTTCTATTAAAGAGTGATTACCTTTCTTTACAAGTGTTGTCACTTTTTCTGTGGCTTAATTTGGGTTGCTATGTAAGAGATGGGCGGGAGGGAGGATTCAAATAACAATTTTGACTCATTCCCCATGTCAGCTGGGCTTTTTGCTAGCTCAGATATACTCAGCATTGTATAAGATATGTCAACACAATAAATTTAACACTACCAATAAAACCTGTTAGTGAGCTATCTGAGTAATTCCTAGACTCTGGGAGGCAATTAATGGCTGGAATATGCAATACTTTGTTTATTGCAACATTTTACATGTCTACAAAATGCTGTTGCCAGTTAGTAGCTAGCTGTAAACTATAATGCTGAGATAAACCTGTAGTAATAAATACTGTATGTTACATTGTATAATCCTTCTGGTAGCCTAAATTTCAAGATGGCACCAAAAAGAAAGTGTATTATAATTACAGCCCCTTCTTGAATTGGGATAGATACCAGGGGTGGGCAATTGTTTGGGCTGGAGGGCCAATTAGGGAATTTTGGTAAGCTGTTGTGGGCTGGGTCAGCCCCCCAACCCCCCCCCATTCCCCCCCCCCCCCCCCGCCCCACTGGTCCACAACAGCTCAGAAAAACTCCCTAAGTGGCTGTGCCATGGAGCCTGGCCCTGCACTGTCACTGCCCAGCGATCCTGGCCCCAACCCCAGTGTCTCCATGAAGGCTGGCCTGGGACCCTGTGGGCAGGCTGTGCCTGGCAGGCCAGGGCCACAGGCAGACAGGGAGCAGCATCTAAGAGCAGGGCCAGGATCACCAGCTGGGGACAGGGCTGGGGCCCAGGACAGAGCCACAAACCACTCCCAGCCAGCCCCTGCCCATGGAACTGGTGCCCATTGCAGGGATGTGCAGGCAGCAGATTATGGCTCTGCCCCAGGCCCCAGCCCTGTGCTGTCATCACCCCAAGATCCCAGCCCTGGCCACCTGTCCTGCTCCCAGATGCTGCTCTCCACTCACCCATGGCCCCATCCCATCCACTTAGCTGAATATACCTTGCCCGTTGGGGCCATGGGCTGGTTTCCTCTATGGAGACCCCACCCACTACTCCATCTGGCACCCCCAGTGGTGGGTATGAGGCAGATGGGCCAGGGTGCCTGGGCAGCAGGGCCAGGTCTGGTGGTGGCTGTGGATGGTAACTGGAAGGAGCCATCACCACAAAGGCTGCCAGGAAGCAGAGTCTGGGTGTTGTGCCACCCCAGCTCTGTTGCACACCCAGGGGCAGCAGGACCAACCACATGCATTATGGCCTGGGTTGTCTCCCATGCCTGGGCTGGATGGGGCCAAGGGACCTGCTACAGGCTGGATAAAATCCCTTGGCAGGCCAGATCCAGCCCATGGGCTGTATTTTGCCAGCCTGTGGGATAGATTAAATATACTCTTGAGTATACAGATGCCTGGCATGCAGCTGATCTTAGAGATGGGTAAACACTTTTTTCACCTAAGATATCAATACGTGTGGTGCATGTCGGTACTCAAGTATTGACTGAGGGCCTAATCTGAGAGATGCCCAAATCTAAAGCCAATGGGTTGGCACCACTGAGATTGGTTGCTCATAGGGAACATGTAGAGGGCACCTCTTTGGGAGGTTCTGGGACTGCTTATACAGTTTGCATGAAATCTCTGAGTCTGGTCTCACAGGCCTTGAGGGCCTGTAACTGCCTAAACTAAAATAAATTGCAAAATCACAGAAAGATAAGGATAGGGAATGACAATGTGGAAAAGGTAGGGACATTTAAATATTTAGGAACACTAATCACTGAGGATAATCAAATAACTGAAGAAATTAAGGCAAGAATTTACAGTGGTGATATATGCTTTTTGATTCTGGACCAAAAAATGCCATCAAGGAAAATTTCAAGATACCTTAAAATCCAGGTTTTTAGCACAAGTGTGCAACCTGTTTTTTAGACGGATGTGAATCCTGGATGTTGACAAAGGTAAATGGAAAAAGGCTGCAAGTATTTGAAAATAAAGTGCTAAGGAAAGTATTTGGTGCAGTACAAGAAAACGGAGTATGGCATAAAAGACCTAATCAAGAGTTTGTGGACCTTTACAAAGGGCTGATGTCTCGAGCAAGATAAGAGTGCAGAGACTGAAATGGGCAGGACACATGACAAGAACCAAAGAGAGAAGGCATGTCAGACAGATTTGGGAATTTGAGGTGCAGGGTATCAGACTGCAAGAAGGTGGACCAAGGCAATGATGGGAAGATAACAATTTGTATTTAATAGCCATTGAATAAAATACATAAATAGCACTGGGGCCAGAACCTAGGTCTTCCTTTATCTGAGAGGAGTGGCTTTCTTAAGGAGCTACAAAATCAGATTCTTTTTTAGTAGGAGGTGGGGAAGGTGCCTTCAGCCCAGATGAGCTAAGGCCTGAAAGCCTGGAAATGAGAGAGGTGGTTTTGTACCTGGAGACTGCTAGAAGCCATGAAGTCTACAAGCAAACCAAAAAGAAAGAGAACTGACATAGCCATGCCATCATCCTTAGAAGAGTGCTACCGGAGGGAGAAAGAATGACGTAGCCAGTAAAGACGATGTGTTGGCAGAGACTCTTTAATTTTCTCTGCCTAAAGTGCTGTCTAATCTACAATGCAAGTCTTGAGCCTGCTGTACCTGGCACAAAGAACTTGGGGTCTCTTCCCATCCTCCATGGGTTTTGAAAGAGTAAGCAAAATAAAATTCTGGTTGTCATTACACAGTGTGGCGAATCAGATGTATTTTCCACACTTTGCCTGTGGAAACAATTCAATACACTTCCACAACTTTATTAATGTCTGTCACCTATTAGTGAATCCAGGGACATATGCTCATTCTTTTGGAATGCACAGTCTGTTCAGCCATCATCTAAAATTAGCTTCACTTACTTTCAATATAAGGCATCAACTGTTACAAAAAAATAAAAGAGGCTGAAGGATGATTACTAGCTCTCTGGTGTCTGTAGTCTGGCTAGTTTCTCCAAGGTCTTTACAGGTAATATAAGGAATAATTTGCAGGTTCCACCAAGTAATCACTGTAATTATCAACAGCATACAAGGTAGGAATTAAGACCCAAAAAAAGGTTAAGTTCCTGTGCTGAAAATATCTAGGTGGACAAGGTACTCTGTTCGTCATTCACACACATCTCCATCAACAAATCAGACATAGGGCTCTCAGAGTGTTCAGAAATTAAAAATAAAAATAGAAGCCTACACTGTTTATCCAAATGGCAACCACCCTGCTTCATAAGGGTTATTTCTGGCACTTGCATGCTGTTTGTGATCTGGTTTCAAGTGCAACATGGGTATCCACCTGGTTACTGAGCAGGCTGCACTCTGGCGGAACAGGTCCATGGCAAAAGGTCAGAGTTCGTGTTTAACCCAGTCATGAATGAAACGTGCCCCTGGCAGCTTGGGGGGCACGGTGGTAGTGGGAACACAGCAACAATAAGCGGGAGCTCCCACAGATGCTCCCAGTGCTGTCAGCGGTGAGGGGGTGGGGTGGCAAGTGCTGACCAGGGGTGGGCGACCACCAGGGGCAGCCAGCGGTGATTTTGGACTGCCCGCAGACACTGCCAGCAGTGTTGGTAGTTGGGTGGCGAGCGATGAGTGCCTGCAGGCACTGCCAACAGTGTTGGCAACACCTTTTTGTAAGGGGTGCACCACTATGCTCAGGAGGTGCACGTGCACCCGCATGCACCCACTATGCATTGCCCCTGAACCCAATAGTTAAGGAAGTAGGAGACTTGGTTTAGCTCTCTGGGGGCCTTGTTACATGTTACACTGAACCGTACATGTGCTGATGGGTGTCAGCGCTAGCTCACGCTCAGAGCAGTCATGCATGCAGGCCAGCAGAGGACTAGAAGGTAAGAATACCCCCCCTCCCCACCTTCTGGGATCTCCCCCACCCCTGGGACTCCCTCCTGCCCCTTGTGGTACCCCCCACTGTGTGCCCAACTGGCCCTGCTGCCAGGCTGCTGCTTTTGTGGCCCAGAGAGCAGCAGTGGTGGCAGCACCTGGGCAGGTTAACCCTTCCCTGCCTGCTCCCTGGGAAAGCATGGGCAGTCACAAGTAAGTGAGGGCAGTGCGCAGGGGACTAGGGGTACTCTGGTACTCAAAGCTGGGTGCTCTGGCGGGGAGTGGTCCCCTGGGTTCTGTGGCACATTTGACTGCCAGGTTCTAAGGCACCCAGGACACCAAGGCTAGTTCACACTCAGGACATTTGCTGGGAGTTTTCTGGTAGAGGTAGAGGGAATAGACCAGTGCTGACAGTCTGCACCACTCTGGGGCTTTTGGTCTGGGGAGGAGGTGGGAAGAATGGAGCCTCACACTGCTTCAGCCCTTTGTAGTGGTTCCCCACCGCCCCACACACTTGTCCTCTCTCCCTGCTCCTCCTCCCACTCCCCGCCCAGCTGGCTGGAGCATAGCAGATGCATGCAGCTGAGCTGCTCTTGAAGGGCTGCATCTGGTGGAGGGATGGGGCCAAAAGGCCTTTACATATGTGCATCCTGTCACTGAAATGATACCTTTCTGAACCATTTCCAAGCTTGCAACCTTTGGAAATGCTTTAAATGGTGCATCTGTGTGGCAGGGCACTGTTTGTGCCTGCCACTTTAAGGGTCTAAAGACAGCAGCCAGCAGGTGCCTGATTAGGGCAGCCATTTTGAGCCTTGGGCTGCCCATATAAACAGGGCATTTTGCTGCTGGAAAGCCAGGCAGCAACATTGCCTGGCCACAGGGCTGCTGGTATCATCTGGAGGTAAGGGAGGTGCTGTAGAGGATGGTCAGGAGGCTCCTGGTTCTGGGGATGACCTAAAACTGCACCTTGCTGGGAGTGGGTGGCCTGGTGGGGCTCTCAGTGGCACAGGAGCCCCCAAGAAATGCCAGGCCATTTACCACCCCAGTGAAAGGTGGGTTGGGGTGCCTTAACCCCTAGCCCCCACAACTTGGGTGGGTTACACCCTTGTAGGGTCTGGAAGGTGGACCCCAGCGAGAGAGTGGGGCCATAGATTCAAACCTGTCTTGATGTCCCCTGACTGCTCAATCCTGGGGCCAGGGCCAGGGGCCCACTGCGAGGGATGCCCAGAGCTGGGGGTCTGGGGTTCTGTCTGGCCTGGAGGTGGGGCAGGACCAGTAGAGCCAAAGGTCCTGGGGGGACCACACCTGTAAGGGGGAAGCAGCTCGGGGAGCTATGTAGCCTGGAATGAAAGCAGATGAGACCGCCTGAATGGAGGGATCCAGGTGGGGTTCAAAGAGCAGGATTCTGGGGCCCAGATGGGGGCTGGTGATATTGATAACATCTGGATACCATCTGTGAGGCTTGGGCTGTGGTGTAGGGGAGGAATGGAGCTGCAGATAGTGCCCCATGGCACCGGGGCAAGAAATGGGCAGCCTCCCACTTAATTAACATCAATTAATTAACAACAAGGCATGGCGGGAGAGAAGGCAGGTGAGTTAGCCCAGAAACGGGTGTGTGGGCCACAGGATATTGGCTCTGAGAAGGTCCCCTGTTAAAAGCTGCCTGCACCCTACTACAGGTAAATAAATGTATGCACACAGCCAGGTAACACAGAGCAGCAGCTTTGACTTGGGGTAAGACATTGATATAGTCAGGCATATAGGTATCTATAAAGACCAGACTTGACACAATGAAACAGGCTGCAATATGTGTGGGGCATAATTAGGACCAAAGTGAACCTGCATGTAAAGCAAAATCTGCTGAAATGGAAGGCAGAAGTTGCTTTCCCTTTATGCATCTAAGTGGCAGTTCTGTAGACATATCCCTGGCTAGTTTTTGGCCCTTGTTTATGCAGTTGCTTCATCCATCTGCATTTGTTCACTGAGCATTACAGCTAGCCACTGAAAGAGCCCATGTGCAGCTAAGTGCATGTGTGTGTGTGTACACACTTGCATGCATGCTCAAGTCCCCACCAAAAATGATTGGGGGTAGGTGGAAAAAGGATATTTTTCCCTTACTTCAGTGCCCAGATGATTTGGCACCATCACCCAGAGCAGCGGGGGGGGGGCACATGACTCCACCTCTGTAACTTCCTAGCACAGCGCTGTAATGACAAGGCACAAGTCTACATTATATAAGTCAGTTCTCTGTGCTCCGTTTGTAGCTGAACCACTGCTCCTTGTAGTTAACAGGATGGAAAAGTGAACGGGGAAGCTGTTTTTGCCCCCACTAAAAGCAATCTTCCAACCTACAACCCAGGGCCTGCTTTTTTTTCAGGACACCAGTGCTTTGATTGAGCCATACACTCATTACCTGCTACTTTTCTTCTAGCTCTCCCTTCCCCATTCTCTTGGCTGTTCAGGTGACCAGCATCAAAAGGCATGCTGGAGACTGAGAGTGACCTGTGCTGTGAAGATTAGAGCACAGTGTGGCAGGTTTGAACTCCTTTTTCACTTGGGGTGGGCCTAGAGCCCAGGTTTTCTGCATGCTAGCTTAACCACTCACTGACTGGGGCTGAGAGGTGGGCAGCTTCCCCATCCCTCTTCCTCTAGTGCTGGGCGCCTGCTAGTCACTGGTTTCTGGACGCTTACAATTTCATAACTTAGATGCAAATATGCACGTGGAAAGGGCAGCATATGTGCCTGACCAAGGAGCAGCCATCTGGGCCCATGTGCACTCTTACGTGCAGAAATGACAGAATTGCCAACAAAAATGCAAAACACAAACATGGCTAAAAAGCTGCCCTTTAGGTGTGTGAAAGGAAATGGAATCCAACCCTAAGGGCCTGTTTTGCTTCTCACTTATACTAATTTTCCAGACATGTAACTCTCTTCATTGCAGTGAAGTTACTCCTTAGTAAGCCTGTGTGAATAGGCAGGTATTCGATCCAGCTGCTTTAGATGCCAGCGATGTGATCTGGAGCTCTGTATCCGTTTTTTGCTTCAATTCAGCCGAAGCAGCTCTGAAGCTTTGGCGATCCGGCCACAGGGTATAATGGGGAATAAATTAAATATCTATAACTTTGTTGTTTTTTGTCTGATTTGGATGAAACTTGCAGGGATGGTAGCCTCTGCTGAGATCATGAAGCCTGCCATGTTTCAAGAAGATCAGTGCAGGGGCTTGGGGGAGCTACACCCCAAATTCTTGATGTCGGGACCGAGGGTCGGTCTAAGGCTATGGCCAATAGCCCGGACCATCAGGTGGGGTTTTTCCACGACGGAGTAGAGTTAGGCATGGAAGCGTATTTCTTTTACAAAGAAAGCTTTATTTACACTGCCGATGGTCACAGCGCAGGGAGGGAACTTGCTTGGGTTGCAGTTGCACACAAACAAACACAAGTGAGATCTCTTCCGAACCGCACCGAACCGAGATGAGTCGTCGATGTACGACTCCACGAGCGCTTTACACGGGGGATACGTCAAATTTCCCCTATGATGGGGAGTGGCTAAGAGCTGATCGGGCCTCTATGTCCTCCTCCAAGACACACGCGGAGTTTGCTAGGCTACACAGCGCGCTCAGAGTTCCCCACGAGATGGTTGTGTAGTCCTCCAACTTGGGCGGAAACTGCTCTAACTTTTGTGGCGGGAACTCTTTTGCACCGGGGATTTCTCTCTGCAGCTGAGAAATCCACCGTGCAAAGAAAGCTGCATGTGGCGGGAAAATGCCAATGTGCCGAGGCACTAAGAATCATTGGGTTATGACACTTGAAAGCAAAACTCATGGCACATGTATGTGTTACACCACAGGGGGGTGAAAACTGTGGAGGTGGTGGCCCCTGATGAGACCACAAGGCCTTCCAAGTTTCAAGGAGATAAGTGCAGGGGTTTGGGGGAAACTGCCCCTCAAGCTGCAGACAAGCACAACTCGTGACATGGGTGACACTGTGTGTTAAGGCGCAGCAGGGTGACAGCTGCAGGCCTGCTAGCCCTTGCTGAGGTCACAAAGCCTGCCAGCTGTTGAGAGAGGTGCAGGGGGTTCTGGGTTCTGGGGCCCTGCACCTCTGGCTGCTGACAGGCAAAACTTGTGACATGGATGCTTGTGCAACTCTCTCTCTTGCCAATCAATCATGATTCACTCAGGGACCAGCTCAATACACAGTAGCTAGCTACTAGTAGCTATTAGATAAAGAGTTGATTAGCACCTACAAAACCACAGACTAAGGAGAGGAAATAATCAATACAGACAATCAACTGCCCCAAGACGGAGACAGTTGCACAAGCACCCATGTCATGAGTTTTGTCTGTTAGCAGCTAGGGATGCAGGGCCCCAGAACCCCCCGCACCGATTTCCTTGCCAGCTGGCAGGCTTCATGGCCGCAGCAGGGGCTAGCAGGCCTGCAGGTTTCACCCGCTGCTCCTTAACACACAGTGTGAACCCTGTTCA